TTACACTGAAATGACTTCCGTTTACACTGAAATGCCTTCCGTTCACACTGAGAATCATATGCATCATACTGTGTGATCATTCATGTCTCATATGAGTATGTGCGTGGAGAGTTTGTGTGTGTGCGTGCGCGTTTCATAGAATGTGCGTGGAGAGTTTGTGTGTGTGCGTGCGCGTCTCATATGAGTGTGTGCGTGGAGAGTTTGTATGTGCGTGCGCGTGTCTCATATGAGTGTGTGCGTGGAGAGTTTGTATGTGCGTGCGCGTGTCTCATATGAGTGTGTGCGTGGAGAGTTTTACGCATCTCTTGTGTGTAGAGTTTGCTTGTATGTGCGTGAGCGACTTTAGATGTGTCGTTGTGCATTTCATATGTATTTGTTCGAGCATTCAGCAGTATACGTGTATGTTTGACTACTAAGTATATGTGTGTGCACGTGTTTCATATATGTGTGCGTGAATGAAGTTTGATTTAAGCCCTAGACGGCGCCTCATACATATATGTACCTATATATGTGCATATATATGTGCACATATGTACCTATATAGGTACATATATGCACGTATATATCCAGCTATATGTTTACCTATATATTAGTATAATTATTAAAATCCATAGCTACTAGGCAACATAAATAATAGCCCAAAATGTAGAAATTTAAATTATTTATTTACTCAAGAACAATCAAATAGTACAAGAACAAAAATAAGACAAAAAACTGTACAGAAAAAAACCCAATTTATCTTGTTGATCTTCTCAGCTCCGTGAGCTTCGAATTGATAGATGTGCCTATCTCCCCTCGGCTGGTTGCCGGCCACTTCTTCAATGTAGCATCTAGAGAAGACAGAAATAATACGACAGTATAATAATAATAATAACAATATATTGCTTCATCAGGAACCCAAAGTGCTTACAGTACAGCTGCGATTGGACACACATTTTGGATAAAGGGCTGATCATAATAAAAAATGCGTCATGTAAACACGTCAATTGGAAGATTCTGATTGGATTCTGCTAAATCTGAAAGAAATTCTGATTGGAAACATCGTCCCCCTTTTTTTTTTAGCGGCATCGTTCTTTCATATGCACATGTCCGTCATGGGGACTGCATTGTTAACAGTCACACGGTCAACCATGTGCATCCAAAGCAGAGAAAATTCATGGATAGAAAAATTTCAGAAATGTGGCTTTAGAAGAGGAAAGGTAGGATCAAGAAGTGAGCAAGCAATGAATTAGTATTATAGGTTCCAAGCAGATACAGTAACAATAATGGGTGCCCTACATTATACAGTCTCCATTGATGCCTAATAAACATTAATACAAGTAGGCTATGGTTAAAGTGGTGAACTTATAAAGTCTTAAAAGTTTTGTTTTCCCTTCTCAACGCATTATGCATTTACTCACCAATAATGGCTGCCTTTTTAATTTGGTCAAGGGTGACCAGCTGCTCCCCATCCCCTCTGGTTGGCTTCCCACCTTAAAGTAATATTTCAAAATGATTATGAAAGGGGGGTAAAATGAAGGTGGTGAAAACAATAGATTTTTTATATACACATCACATTTTCTTGAGGTGCAAGGAAATACAAAAATGGCAAGTAAAAAAGCGATGGTATGCCCGCACACAAACATAATTTATTCCGCAGAATATGACTGACTTGTTTTTTTCAAGGACAGAAGAGATTAGGAACATGTTGTTTAGTACCATTCAGGTTGCTTTTCAGCAAAGTATCCAAATCAAAGGTGCCCAGCAGCAGATTCGGCACCATGGCAGTGGCAGAGGTGGCAAGGCGGGCTGTTTTCCACGCTTCTGCCTGGCAAAACACCCCAGAGCCCTTTAACTTCAATCTGAAAAATAATTTCACATCACAATATTAATTTATTGGCAACTTTTAGAAACTTTTTCATGTTTCATATTGATTCTTATGCTTAGCTTCCCAAAAGTTAATAGGTTATGATGTATAAATGCAGATTAATGATAAAGATATGAAACAAATTAATCATTGCCCTAAACGTTATTAAAGGAGAGGAGGAGGTTGGATGGAGAGTAGGGTAGGAGAAAAGACAGTGGGTGGAGAGGAGTGAAGGGGGGCAGGAGAAAAGGATGATTGTCTCTTTTAACACTAATTGGCTCTTACAAAGCACACAGTTTATACCCATCCTTACTACATAATGTTATTCACCTGTGTTTTCGCTGTGGTCTCAGCTGTTGCTGCAGTCTTGTTAGAGAAGAAAAACATTGTTAAACTCAATTGTAAAACTTCAACAATTGTATGCATATGGGGCAAGTAAATTACATATTACCACTAACTATCCCAACATAAAAATCCCTATAGCTCAGTTGGAGCCTTAAGTAAAATAAGTACAGAAAAATCTGAGGTATATAAGGGTTACACACACCTGTGGGGTCTCTCGAAAGCGCTCAGACTCTCTTTAAAGGGCTCGGTCTCCTCTCTGGAGTCTTAGAGAAGAAAGAAACTTAGTAAAACTCTACAACAATTCTTATTCATCCAAGCAAGCCACTATAGATTCTTATTTACAGGGGGGGCTTGGAAAACATTAAACATGTCAATAAATTCATAGCCAAACATAAAAAAAAAAAATCAATAAAAAAAATCAGCCAAACATCATAAAAATCCATATAGCTCTGTTTGAGTAACAAGTAAACTAAATAAATACAAATGCAAGGGGGTTACTCACCGGTTGCACTTCTCCAAAAGTCGAGAAGGAGACATCTAGATCCTCCACAGGACTCCTTCCAGTCTTGTTCATAGAACAAAAATATAGTCATTCTCTTCAATAAATTAAAGTGCAAATACATCAAATAATAAACACTATCAATCAGCCCAACATCACAAGTCTCTACAGCTCTGCTTGAGAAACAATTTTAAAAAGCAATGAAAATCAGTGGAACTTACCTTGTGAGCAATAATGGCGAGGTCACTTTTCATTTGAGGGATTTCTAGAAAGAAGTTATATAGCCTAAAGAAAAAACAATTACAATCACTAAAGCAGAATAGCACCCAGCAATTCAGTGCCCTAACGTTAACGTTACTCTTCGAAAGACATTTCCTGCAGCTGTGAACGCAAGCTAAAACCCTCCAAAGCCCATTGATAAGGCTCTGGAAAGGAAATCTGGTTGTGAACGCAATTATAAAAAAATGTCTTTCTCCAATTTGTCCCAAATTCAAATTCCCCAGGTTTTTTTTCTGGAGCCGATTGACTTCTTGAGCCGTTGAAGGCAGAGAAGCATCATTTATTCTCATGAACTGTAACGTTATATTCTCTAGGCCATGACTTTTGTTAACGTTAACCCTCAACGAATTCCTCTAGAAAGAGACACATAAATATAATTCTAATTTGAATCTTATCAACGGCTGACGTTATGAGCACCCACACTAACTTTACCTCAGTTAACAACATAGCATGTATTTTGCCAAACACGTGTTAAACTTTCAGCCCATACAATTTCTAAGTTTATACTTCTCTGCCACCACAATATCCATCTCCAGAAAAAAACCCTGCTAATAAATATTATAATTAGGAATACTTACGATTGATGATAAGTAGGACATAGCGGATCTCCAACGCTGATATCGCCATTTTCACTCCCAGTCGATATCTTTCGGCGCGAATCGTCAAACGTCAGGCGGATGACGTCATCAACTACGCGGCGCTGTAGCCATGGTAGCAGCAGAGTGGAGAATTTTTTTTTTTTTTTTTTTTTTTTTTTTTTTATTACAGAGTTTGATATCAAGTTCTTGACACATTTCTTTTACAGATTTTCACATTTGATAAGTATAAGTTGAAACAACAATAATTTGGAAAAAAAGAAAAGAAAAAGATAAAGGCCATCTCAAACATATATTAAATTCATTTAGCAGAGATACAGATCTTTGGGCTTTTCGATTTTTTTAAAAACTTTACAGACTCAAAATGCTTGTCTTCAAATTTATTAACCATAGTGAAATGCTCAGATAGATGGGATGATGATGATGATGATGATGATGATGATGATGATGATGATGATGATGATGATGATGAAGATGATTACTTCAATGTATGTTCTGTTCTTTTTTTTGTTTTGTTTTTTGTTGCTACATTTAGACTGTAATGACCTTTCAGCCATATTCATATAGAAACTGCATTAAGACAACACAGAAAACATTGCATTTTGCATTGCATTTGGTGGAACGGTGAATGTGTGGATGTGTATGAGCTGTAATGTAAATCTGGAAGTGACTTGAAATTGGAAAAAGGGCTTGATTGACAAAATAAAAAAACGACAAACCATTTTGTTATTTCCTTCTTTTCCACTATCTTCATACAAGGAAGAATTGACCTTGTAATAGCTTTCCATCTCCTCTCACTTAATTGCCATAGTTAAATTCCATAACATGCCAATTACATGTGATACCAATTTCATGTTCGCACATATACAGTTCTTGCATAATTTTTTTTTTTTAGTTAGTTCTAGTTATTGCCTCGATAATAGAAAATATGAGCTAGGCATCATGTATGACAGTTGCCAAAGTGAGGTATAATGACCAGATCCTGCCATGAGCTATATATATAGGAGTCATGTATGCACATATAGGGCTTATATGTGGATAAAAAGAAGCAATACAGGATACCTATATGCCTGTATATGCACATATATGCACCTCAGTTTTGCCTATATGTGCAATATATACGCATATATGCAGCATATATATTATCATATATGTGCATATATGCTGTATATATGAAGCATATATGTGCATATAAACTGCATATAGGTTTCATATATGCGCATATATCCTCATATAGGTTCTTTCCATGTGGGCGTCGCTGTGACTGGGCCAAAGCTGCAGGCTAGACCACAAACAAGATGGCGCCCTAAGCACATGGTCTAAGGAGAGCCGCGGAATTTAAATTGTTATTTTAAGTAGTGATCGTCTAATTTTTTTTATTATATATATATACGTGTTGGCTTTCAATCGCTTAAACAACATTTCATTTGACAGAATGGCGACCTCTGATCGAAAAAGAGATAGAAATCAGACGAATTCGAAATCTAAGACAGCAGTCACATCAAATAGCGTTAGCGAGGAACATTTCCATGACTATATATCGGCTGATGAAGACTTTACAGCTATACCTGTCACCCCCAGCAAATCACCTGCTCAAAAGAAAGGTAAATCGGAGCAGTTACCTACTTCAGCCGCTGTAAGGGAGAGCTCTGATATAGTCCTACAACTCTCGCAACTCATTAACTCCAGATCTGATGCGTTGGAGAAACTGGTCTCTGACAACACCCTGCGAATTGAGGGACTTAAGAAAACTATTGACTTTGCATCTGCTGAGATAAAGGACATTAAGGAGAAATCTGCAGTTCTTGAAAAGCGCATCGCCAACAATGATGCGCGCCTGGGCTCAGCTGAGTTGCGTATAGCAGATTTAGAGAGTTATTCACGAAGATGGGATCTCTGTTTATTCGGAGTTCCGGAGGCAGATAAAGAAGATGTGCGCCAAGAAGTTATTGGTATATGTCAAGCTGTCCTACCTGCAGAGAAGGCTAAACTTCCTTGTCTCATTGACACAGTGCATCGTCTGGGCCAGAAGAAGGGAAAGGAGCTGTCCAATATTGATAAACCCAGAGGAATAATTATTCAGTTTACATCCAGGGTAATTCGCGACTCTGTGTGGAAAGCGGCAAAAAGGTCTGAATACCTGAGGAGTCACGGTCTGCGTTTTGCGGAAGATCTATCTAAAATGGACAGAGCACGACGTCTCCAGCTATGGCCTGCAGTAAATGAAGCCCGTCTTCAAGGAAAACCTGCTTACTTTGTTGGTGGACGTGCCTTTGTTGCCGGGATCGAAATTAACCCACCATGAGAGATGAGGAAAGGTACCCCTTTTTTTCTCTTGGTTGCCTTTGCCATCGGGACCAGAATTAACCTACTATGATAAACGAGGACATGCAGCAATTCTGCTTCCTTTACTGAATGGTTGATTTTTTTGTTCTTATAAGACAACTTGGGATTTATACACATATTTGTCTTCAAATGAAAACACTGGTTTCATAGTTATTTTGTTTGAACAAGGTCAGGTTTCGTGGCCATTAGAATTATTTTTTTTCTCTACTAAGTTGCCTATACGCGGTTTCTCCTACCACCTGTTCTTGTATTCTCACTTATTTTTGTGGATCACTTTTCACTTTCGTTCTGTCATTGTCTATAGTTACACTAAATGCCAGGGGGTTAAGGCAACATATTAAACGGAAAGCTTTATTTTTATTTGCTAAACAACATAGGACTGATTTTTGCTTTTTTCAAGAGTCTCATTCGATTCCTGATGATGTGCGTTTCTGGAGGACTCAATGGGGTAACGACATCTGGTGTGCGCATGGATCTGAGCGCTCCGCCGGTGTCGTCACTTTAAAGAACAGATTCACCGAGGAGATTTTGCATACACAACGTGACGGATCTGGACATTTTTTGTGCCAAACTCTCAAAATTCATGGTTCTATATTGCTCATTGCGAATGTTTATGGATATAATTCTAAAAGTGAAAACGATCATTTATTTGAAACTTTAGAAGAGCATATCCTTCATGGACTGTCGCAATTCCAGGATCTTTCTCTTATCATAGGGGGTGATTTTAATACTGTTATGGACTGTTCTCTCGATTGTTTACCAGCAGGTCCATCTTATAATCAAAATACAAACCTTAAACGTTTCATGGAGAGATTCAATTTGGTTGATATATGGAGGTCTACGTTTCCTGATTCGTTAACATATACTTGGAGCAACAAATCTGGTAACAGGCAATCTCGAATAGATTATTGGTTAGTGTCTGTAGGCTTGGGAATCGGTTCCAGGTTCCGGTTTGGAACCGGTTCCAAACGTTCCGATCCATCGGAATCGTACACGTCCACACGTTAACGATTCCACTAACGATTCCGAATGTTCCGTTCCATACATTCCCGCGTCGCGGCATGACGTTACAGTATGCGACTGGATTTTTAAATCCCCCAAAAGTGCGATGGCTACGAGACGATCGAGAGTGTGGCTTCATTTTAAATGCAGACCGGGGGAAGCAAATCTGGGCGACACAACCCCTCCCGTCATTTCAGCTCCAATGACGGCATCAAAACAATGAAAGCATGGCGAAGCGGCTCTCCACGGCTCTGCTTTCATCGGCGAAAAAGTTAAGAAACTCGACGCTATAAGCCCTCAGTACCGAGCCGAGCAGTTCGCACGTGACTTTTATGCAGTGTTTCCCACACATAGACTAATTCGCGGCCACAAAATCAACTCCGGCCGCCACATATTGCGTTTCGTTCATTTTTTTATGCTATTTAAAACACGCAGCGTATTCTTTCCGTTGTATTTCCTTTCCCCGCTCTCCCTCCGTCTCTCTATCACTCACGCGTCTCTCTCACATACACGCGCACACACACACACACACACACCGCGTCTGTCTATGAGGCGCCGGACTGGACAAAAGCGAAGCGAACTCCGCGAGCGACACTGGGTGAGAGAGAGACAGAGTGTGACTTTTATTTAAACTTATATAATTTATTTTACTGGACAGTTTAAAGCTCATAACCATATTTTGTTGTTACTTGAAGACTGCAGTGTCATGTGGCATCATGCAGTATTTGTCCTGAAAAGGCTACTCAGTAAATGTCTGTAATTTAAGGTCATTCCTATTTTATTTGTATACATTTTAATCATTAACTTTAAAAGCACACTCTTTTTATGACTAAAATAACAGTAAAGGGTAAAAAAAATGAATTCCCAAAAATTAAAACGGAAAAAACGGAATTTGGGAAAAATAAAACGGAATTTGGGAAAAAATAAAACTGATTTCATAGGGCCCTAGATATTGCACACTTGGTTTTCATTCTCTAAAACCACTTTAAATTAGACATTCAAAGCCAACAACTCTCAAAGCCACCCTGTAAGTGTTCAGCAAATGGTACAGGAATCGATATGGGAATCGATAAGGAATCGCATCGATAAGCAGACTCGACAATGGCATCGATATCGATAATTTCTTAACGATGCCCATCCCTATGCGAGTATACAATCTTCAGATGTCTCTGTTAGTGTGATTCCTTCACCGCTCAGTGACCATAAGGCTGTTCTTATCTCTATTAAGTTCAGCACTTCTCCACACACCATGGGTAGAAGTTCATATTGGAAACTTAATAGTTCATTACTGCAATATGAACATATTAAAACAAAGGCTAAAAATCTTATTTTATGTCATTGGTATAAAGCACTTTCAGAAAACAAATTCTGCAGTAATTGGAAGCTATTGAAATTTGAGGTAGCTAAGTACTTTCGAAAACAGGGAAGCTTAATGGCATTAGAAAGACGTACTCAAGAGGACAATATTATATCAAAATTAGCTGCCCTCTCCTCAAAATCATGTCCAAATGAAGATGAACAAGCTGAGTTAGTCACTCTTCAACTAGAGTTGGACAATTTATATAAGAATAAGGCAGAAGGAGCCTTTACTAGGTCACGAAAGAGATGGTTGGAGAAAGGGGAACAAAATTCTGCATATTTTTTTGGTCTGAAGAAATTTCACTATAGAAATAATACAATTGAACAACTTAAAATAGATGGGGATGTTACAGATGACCAAGTTAAAATTTCAAAATTGTGTACAGAATTTTATAATGGTTTATATTCATCTAAATTTTGCGATCATTCGGCTTCTCTATTTCTAAACTCTATTTCTGGAGTGAATTGTAAATCTGTCGACCCTGTACAAAAAGAACTTTGTGATAGCTTAATTACTGTTGAGGAAGTATTAAACGCTATCGCACATATTAAGGTTAACAAATCCCCTGGGGTTGATGGCCTCACGGCTGAATTTTATAAAACCTTTTCTGATCTTATTGCCCCCTTTCTTAAAGAAGTTTATATAGAGAGTATAGAAAATCAATGTCTTCCACCTACTTTAACTCAAGGATTAATTACTTTGATTCCAAAACCAAAAAAAGACCCATTGCTATTAGATAATTGGAGACCAATCTCTCTTTTAAACAATGATTATAAGATATTTGCCTTAGTCTTTGCAAATAGAATCAAATCAGTTATGGACCCCCTTATAGATGAGGCTCAATCTGGCTTCCTAAAGAAAAGACATATTTCAAATAATATAAGATTAGTCCTAGACGTGTTGGACTATTCACATTTAAGTACAGATGATGGATTTATTCTTTTCTTAGATTTCTATAAAGCCTTCGATACGGTGGAGCATGCTTTCATTTTTAGGTCTTTACAAAAATTTGGCTTTGGAGACTTTTTCTGTAAAGCTTTACAAACAATGTATAGGAACGCAAACTGTTCTATTAAACTGAAATGTGGTTCATCCTCTAGATTTTATTTAAAACGTGGTATAAGGCAAGGTTGTCCCATCTCCCCTTATCTCTTCTTGTTTTGCACTCAGCTTATGAATATTCATATTAAATCAAGCCAAGACTGGCCATCTGTGTGATCTGGAGAATCACAGAACGGCCGGTACTCCAGGACGGCCGGCGGGCCGGCCCACCAGCCGCCACACACATCCCAAGTCTCCCGCATATTGATAGCGGCTCCCTGATGTCCGCAAATTAGTTAAAATCTCCCGGAATCTAGAGCGAGCAAGAGCGCGCATGCGTAGCGCGTGCACGGCAGAGAGAGAGGGAGCGAGAGATTGCGTGTGTGCGCGTGTGTGCTAGTGTGCGCGTGTCCCTCACGAAGCGCATGTAAGGACCCAACCAATCAATTGTCAGTGCGGGCGGGCTTTTATCTCTACTACTCCCGAACCGAATTAATCAGAAATTACTTTGCAAGTTACTTGCTAGGGATGATGTTAGGCAGTGATATTCAGCTTGCTACATTTTTAATGATTACAGTAGTTAAAACAGCTAAACTTCAACATTTTAGCTGTAAAATGCCACATGCAGTTGCTAATATTAAGAAATATGTTGTGCTTTTACTTTTAAGAATTTTGGTAATGTTACAGTTAATGCTTACAAACTTTGAAGATTTTGAATACAGAAGTTACATTTGTAATGGTGTATTTTCATTTAGATGTGGTATTATTATTTGTGCAGTAGCTAAGATTAATTACTGCATAAACTAATTAAGATTATTAAGTAATAAATTCATTTTAAGACAGCATGGAATAGATTGTATAATATGCTGTTAGCTATAATTTGGATGGTAGTATCATGAGCCACAGTTAAAGTGACACTCATGGCAGGCGTTATTGTTGTCGAGTTTCCGCGCACCGATTGCTTTGGGCCGGGCCTAGTCAAAGTCCAGGGCCGTTTTTTAGTCCCAGTCCGTCCCTGATTGCTGGTAGGGATATTATAATATCCCAGTTAGCAGACGATACTGCACTGTTCCTGAAAGATCAACATCAAGTCCCAGTAGCTCTTAAAGTAGTAGATGCCTTTTCTAAAGCTTCCGGCCTTTACTTAAATATTAACAAATGTGAACTGTTATCTGTAAAAGACTGTCAATTACAACAAATTGCTAATATCCCAGTAAAGGAGACAGTGACATATTTGGGGATTGTTATTTCGAAAGACCAAAAATCTAGATGTAAGATAAATTTTGATCCCATTCTCTAGAAGACTAAAGCAAAGCTGAATCACTGGCTTTTGAGGGATTTATCCCTAAAAGGTAGAGTTCTGTTATGTAAAGCCGAGGGACTGTCAAGATTAGTCTATACTGCGACTTCACTCGCTGTTTCTAATGTGATGTGTAAAGCTATTGATTCTGCCTTATTTAATTTTCTTTGGAGAAACACAACTCATTATATTAGGAAATCCATAGTCTTTTAGTACTTTAGAAATCTTTTAGTACTTTAAATAATGTTTTTAAAATTAATTGGATTAGACATTTCATTCTAAATCCAAATTCCCTTTGGAATTTCATACCCAGTTTTGTTTTCTCCAGAGTAGGTTATCTTGATTTTCTCCTGATTTGCAATTATAAAATTGACAAAATCCCTCTAAATTTGTCTTGCTTTCACAAACAAATGTTGCTTGCTTGGTCCCTTTTATATAAGCATAATTTTTCACCCCATAGATATTTAATTTGGAACAATTATAATTTATTATTTAAACATAAAACCTTATTTTTTGAAAGATGGTTTTTAGCAGGTATAATACGAGTAGATCAATTACTAAATCAAGAAGGTATGCTGCTAACTTACTCTGAGTTTCTAGATTTCCATAAAATTCCAGTGACGCCCAGGGAGTTTTCGATTGTCATGGATGCGACCCCTACAGGGGTCTTGGCATTATTCAGAGCTAATACCCAAACCAGTATTGCGCCCCCTTCCTCCTTTGATTTATTTGTAAAATAAGTCGTAAATGTTAATAAAATGATTCGTTCGTTATTTCAAAAAGACATTGTCACCAGGCCAAACTGCATTGGTTATTGGAATAGAATGGTTCAAGGTTTGTTTTGGAAGGCCATCTGGACTTTACCAAACAAATATTTATTGGTAAATAAAATAAAGGAAATAAGTTTCAAAATCTTACACAGGTTCTACCCAGTAAATAATTTTCTTGTTAAATTTAAAAAGGATATTGATCTGAACTGTTCTTTTTGCAATACATTGGCTGAAACCTTGTTTCATTTATTTTGGCACTGCGCTCATGTTAAAAAATTTTGGAAAGATTTGTCTAGATTTATAATTGACAACATTGACCCCACTTTTTCTTTGTGTTTAGAAAATGTTATATTTGGTTTTAATAATATTCCCTCAAATAAAAGGAAAGAGTACTATATTATAAATTTAATTTTAATATTTGCTAAATTCCATATACATAAATG